GTGTAAACCTCCATTGATTTCCTTATTTTTTATTCGAACATCCGATTTACTAGGCGTTGGTAAGCGACACCATCATTTTTTTAGTCCGAATGGCATTACATTATAACAATAGATATCGTATTTAGTAATGAAATAAGTCTTTTCCTGGTCGCCCGGATCCATCTGGATATGGTTGTACCCGTAATAGGCGTCGAGAAAGCTGAGTATCTCATGGCCGACCGTTGCATCGATCATGTTATCGATGTTAGGCAAAGGAAAAGAGTCCTTGGGACATGCCTTATTCAAGTCTTTGTAGTCTACACACATTCTTAATTTATTTCTCTTTTTAGGCACTACCACTACGTTTGCTAACTAGTCCGGGTACTTAACTTCCCGAATGGAACCTATTTTAAGGAGTTTGGATACCTTGTCTTTGATGAATGCATGCTTGACTTCGGACTGAGGCTTTCTCTTCTGTTTAACCGGGTGAAACTTCGGATCTAAGCTCAAATTGTGAGTAGTTATTTCTGGCGAGATCCTTGTCATGTCAAGATAGGACCAAGCGAAACAATCCACATTAGCTATAAGAAATTCAATGAGTTTTTCCCTGAGCTCGGGAGTAAGCCTCGTGCCCAGGTATACCTTCCGATCGGGCAGGTGCTCTATCAATATGATTTGCTCCAACTCTTCAACCGTTGACTTGGTGGCATCGAAATCATTAGGGGCTATGAAAGACCTGGGGACTCCGTAATCATCATCCTCGCCTACCCCCCTGATTTTCTGGTTCGGTCGGTGTCGGTGTCGTTGATTGCTATTTGGTTTCTTCCTTGGTGACCGAACTCGGGTTCTTCGATGTTGAGAGTATAGATATATGGACCACCTCATCAACCACGAACATTTCTTTTACAGCCGGTTGCTCTCTGTAAGCTGTTTTGATCCCTCATGGTGTGGGAGATTTCAATGCCTGATGTAGTGTCGAGGAACTGCCCTCATGTTGTGAATCCAAAGCCTCTCGAATAGAGCATTGTATCTCATATCTCCTTCGATCACGTAGAACTTTGCTTCATGAACGGTTCTGGCAGTGTTTACCGGCAGGATTATCTCCCCTTTAGTGGTCTCACATGCCATATTAAACCCGTTTAAAACCCGGACTGCAGGCACAATTTGGCTTTGTAGACCCAACTATTCCACGACCCTCAATCTAATGATATTGGCCGAGCTACCTAGATCAATTAGCACACGCCTGACTCGAGATTTGTGTATGAGTATAGATATTACCAGTGCATCATTGTGTGGTTGCATGATGCCTTCAACATCCTCATCGTTGAAAGATACGGTTCCCTCCGGTACATGATCTCGAGTCCGTTTTTCTCATGTAATGGACATTTTAGTGCGCTTTAACGTCAGACTCTAGGGGACGTCAACCCCACCAATGATCATGTTAAAGACGTGCTGAGGTTCCTCTTGCTCGATCTGCTTATTGGAGTCCCTATTCCTGAAGTGATTTTTGGCTCGATCACTCAGAAACTCTCGGAGGTGTCCGTTATTGAATAACCGGGCTATTTCCTCCCTCAGTTGTAGGCAGCCTTTGGTTTTGTGGCCGTGAGTGCCATGATATTTACACATTAGGTTGGGGTCCCTTTGGGCAAGATTAGATTGCAATGGTCGAGTCCACTTAGTATCTTTGATGCGTCCGATGGCTGATACGATGGCGGCAGCGTTGACGTTGAAATTGTACTCTGATAACCTTGGTGCTTCCTTATACCCGATGGGTCTGTCAAAACCTCTTTTGCTCATGAGTCCCCGGTTGTTATGACCTCGGTCACTTATTCTTTCATTTTTCACAGTGTTGCGTCCGGACCCATTACCCCTTCGATCTCCATTGTATGGTTGATACCGGTCTCTATTCGATCTTGGTTCACGATCAATGCCTCTTTTGGATCTGTCACCAGCTCTGACGGGGTTAACGGACCCGGAAGGGGCCCCGAGCTGATTGTCTTCGACCCTGATTTTTGATTTATAACGGTTATGGACGTCGACCCAAGTTACTACCGGGTATTCTATCAGATTTTGTTCAACTGTTGTGAAGTTAATGAGCTTCGGGGATTGAGTCCTTAGGTGAAGGCCTGAACGGCCCAATCATCTGCGACCGGGGGCAGGTCCATCCGTTCCATTTGAAACCTCGATACGAATTCCCCGAGCATCTCATTATCTCTCAGCTTTACCTTGAAAATATCTGATTTCCTAGTCTCGACCTTCATGGCCCCGACGTTCGCTTTTACAAAGGCATATGCAAGCATTGCAAACAAGTCAATAGAATTAAGAGGTAAGTTGTGATACCATATCACAGCTCCTTTCGACAAGGTCTCTCCAAACTTTTTCAGCAGAACGGATTCGATTTCATTATCTTCCAAGTCATTTCCTTTGATGGCATACATATAAGAGGTCACATGTTCGTTGGGATCGGTTGTCCGGGTATACAGAACTTCTTTGGGATCGGCTTCGGAGCTGCACTCGAAGGGAAAGTCTTTTGGACAAATTTTTTAGAATCCAGGCTCTTCAGTATCGGTGGTGCTCCCGGGATTTGGTCGACCCTGGTGTTATAGGTCTCGACTTTTTTGTCGTTGGCTTTGATTTTCTTTTCTCCCGATTCCACCTGTTTTGTCAGTTCCTCAAACATTTTTTTTTATCTCGGGGTTAGTTTCGGGTTCTGCTTCATCCGACCTTTCTGTGGCTGGTTCATTTCTGCTCCCGGGACAATTCGGGCTCAACTCTGCTGGGGGCTCATCTTTGGTTCTGCAACTGGGCTACCGCTGCCTGTTGAGCCTGTAACATTTTGAAGATCACGGGCAAGTTGATCCCGTCACCTTCGCCATCGTGTGTGCTCCGGGCTACCAGCCGGGCTCCCCCGCGAATGCTATTTTCGGAGTTAGTATGCAAGTTTGCTTCGATAGCCACGTGTGAGTTAGTATCGATCAGATTAGCGATTGAGACTCCGTTGGGGTCAGCAGGTGGTATCTCGTTGCTCGGTACCACGTTGTTGTTTTCACCATGGTGGCCAGACTCAGGATCCATGTTCAAATGGGCAGATTGGGAGTTCGACATTTTTTAATTTGACCTAAATTAAAGCTCAAAAAATAAGTGTAAAATAGAGTGCGTTATGAAAATATGTATCAAATTGCCACTATTATCCTTAGCCCCACGGTGGATGCCAAACTGTTTACCCTAAAAAACGGATAAAAATTGAATTTATATGTGGTTTTAAATATATGCGGATTAATTCAATACAAACGATAAATTGCATTAGATTAAACAGATAAAGGATGTAGTAGATTGTCAAACCACTTAAAGGGGGTGATTCCGGACACAATAACAACCTTAATAAAATGCCTGCCCTCGATCCCGGACTCACAATAACGAAGCACTGATGAACAAGAGTAAGAATTTTGAATAATAGAGTAAATAATAGTATATTGCCTTGATATGCGTGTTACCGTGTCCCTACTGAATAATAAGACTCCCCTTTATATAGTATGAGAGTTTACCCTAAGTACAATTCCATAAAAGGTAAAAATCTTATGTTTAACTAATCACCGGTTCTCTGCTGATACGTGCCGAGGTCCACGTCGTGATATCCAGTTGGTCGCGGATATCACGACCTTTTGTTGGTCGTGCTCGATTATCTGGTAATGCCCTCCGAGGCTTTTGGGGTTTGAACCGGACCTGGGGGTCATGGCCCCGATACTCCCGAAGGCCGGTGTTTTGCTTGGACCACGGATCATGGGGTCTCTTGCCTCGATTCCGATTTCTTGCCTTTGCGTTTCTTGCTCTGTTCGCTTCATCTGAAACCGAGGCATCCCTTAGGCTCAGTTTCACCCATATACACCCTTGAATTCCGTTCCTTAGTTCAATCTAGAGTGTAATAGCGACTAAGATACTAATCCGGGATAAAATATAGAATTGTATTTATCTAATGTTTGGTTATAGATATATTAGTCAATAATGAAATAAATTTTATATTAAAATGGTGAGATTAGCTATCTCATTTAGAAAGTGGAATAGCTAATCCATCCTTATTTATTCCACTTGGTAACCAAACGATCCCTTAATGTGGCTAACATATAATAACCTTTTTGGCTAAGCTTCTACTCACCAAAAATACTTTTTTTTTTGGCCAAAAGTATTTTTTTCAATTTGGCTAAGCTTTGAGTGGAAACAAAAGTAGTTTTTGAGAAATACAAAAACGTAATTTTTTTCTTGAAAGCACTATTTGAGAAAAATATACTTAGAAACACTTTTAAAAAACTTGGCCAAACACTAATTGATGCTCAAAAGTGTTTTTCAAATTAATTAGCCAAACACAAACTGTTTTGAGAAATTTTTTTTCAAAATAAGCTGATTTAAAAGTTTGACCAAATAAACTATAAATTTTGAAGTATTAAACATGTCATATCATTTTTATCACCGGTCTAATAGCCTGTTTGGCAAAGTTTTTTTGGGCCAAAAGTGCTTTTTTGGCCAAAAGTACTTTTGGCCAAAAATTGAGATGTTTGACCAAACTTTTGGAAGGAAAAAAATACTTTTTAGGAGAAGGAGAAGCAGTTTTTGAGAAGAAAAAAAAAGTAGTTTTATCTCCAAGCACTTTTCTTAGAAGCACTTTTGAGAAAAATACATTTAGAAGCAGTTTTCAAAAGCTTGGCCAAGCATTAATTACTGTTCAAAAGTGTTTTTCAAATTAATTAGCCAAACACAAACTGTTTCTCACCAAAAATACTTTTAAAAAAATAATTTAAAAAAAAATACTTCTCAAAATAAGTTAATTTTAGAAGTTTGGCCAAACAGGTTATAAGGAAGATCGGAATTAAAAATTTAGTGGATAAAATGATTCTAAACAGATTAAAAATGAGCGCAAGATAAATTGAAACAGAAATGAGCTTCACTCAATTACTACGATAGAGTGACAGGGTAATACTGTATTTACCGCTGCCGTAATTCGGTGACGTAATATAAATTTTCCAAACAGCTTCAGTGCACTTTTTTTCGCAATTCCCAAACAGCGCCGCGGTATCCATCTCGAGCTCGGCTGAGAACAAGATGCAGGCAATCACGAGAAAATTAGGGCACCAATCTCTGAAACATTCACCTGCAATTTCATCTTTCAAGTCTCTCTATCCCCCCTCTGATGATCAATGTATGTATCATTTTCCCCCTCTTTACGCATTTCTAGGGCAACTAAAGTTTTCATTTTTTTCGATGAATTTTCCTAAAAGCGGTGATCTCTTATCGGATTGAGTTCTAGTTTTTTTTGTGCGCATTCTATTATTTCAGATTACTGTTCGCGGTTCGCATCTAACGTTGCCACCAGTGGTGGCGGACATCTAGCTCGCAAGGGAACTGGTGGAAGATCATCTGTTAGGTAAAATACCATACGTCAAACCTTTTTCTTTTCATTTATGGGTTTTATTCTTGTTTTTAATCTTTTTTCGTATGTGTGTATAGATGGTACCAACTTGTTGAGACAATGGTTTAATCAAATTGGTACATTTGCATTTGGTCGAGTGTTTTCCTGTGTAGGGATAAGTTTAAGATTTGATCTCTAGATTTAGATAACTGCTTGCTTTTGATAACCTTTGGAAAACTACTCCTTGTCCCAATTTATGTGATGCACTTTCTTTTAGCCTGTACGAAAAAGAATGATACTTTTCTATATTTAGAAATAATTTAACTTGAAACAAGATGAAATAAAACAGTGGCAACAAGTGATAACAACAACAAGATATTAAGAAAACTGAGGCGAAAGAAAGCACTCAAACAGTATGTAGTACCAACAATCCAAGAATAAAGAGATACCATGCTAACACTAATGCTACTGGTTTGGGAAAGAAAAAGGCAACGCTCGACTGCCTACTAACCTTCCACCTTAACCTTCCACCCTTACCTTGGGAGGGTAGAGAGATTGTTTGCGATAGACCCTTGGCTAAAGACAAGATGAAAAAAAGCAGTGGCAACAAGTGATAACAACAACAAGATATTAAGAAAACTGAGGCGAAAGAAAGCACTCAAACAGTAGGTAGTACCAGCAATCCAAGAATAAAGAGATACCATGCTAACACTAATGCTACTGGTTTGGGAAAGAAAAAGGGAACGCTCGACTGCCTACTAACCTTTCACCTTAATTCTCGACCTCCATACTCTCCTATGTAAGCTCCAGCTGTGCTTATGTCCTACCTAATCACCTCTCCCCAATAGTTTTTTGGCCTACCTCTACCCCTCCTACCCACCAAGGTCAACCTCTCACACCTCCTAACTGAGGCATCTATGTTTCTTCTCTTCACATGTCCAAACCATCTCATCCTCGCCTCTTGCATCTTATCCTCCACGGGGGCCACTCCTACCTTTTCCCGAATAACTTCATTCTTAATCTTATCTAATCTGGTATGCCCGCACATCCATCTCAACATCCTTATTTCAGCTACTTTCATCTTCTGAACATGAGAGTTCTTGACTGGCCAACACTCCGCTCCTTTCAATATAGTTGGTCCAAACACCACTTTGTAGAACTTACCTTTAAGTTCTAGTAGTACATTCTTATCTCACAAGACACCGAAAGCGAGCCTCCATTTCATCCACCCTGCTCCAATACGATGTGTGATATCCTCATCATCTCCTCATTTCCCTGTAAGGTGCTTGAAACTATCTATCTTGTGGAAAACATGTACATCAAGCCTCACATCCATATCTGCTTCCTGAACTTACATTCTAAGTATTCAGTTTTGGTCCTGCTCAACCTGAAACCTTTAGACTCCAGGGTTTGTCGCCAAACCTCCAACCTCTCATTAACACCACCTCGCATCTCGTCAATCAGAACTATGTCATCTGCAAATAGCATACACCATGACACTTCCCCTTGAATGTGACGCGTCAGTGTGTCCATCAAAATACAATCACATAAAATGGGACGGATGGAGTATTTGTCTTACGAGTCAAATTATGAATATTGAAATGAAAGGGGCCTCAAATAGAGGAAAATGGAAATATGGAATTTATATAGCGACCGTAACTAGTTTGGGATGAAGGTAGGATAGTAGTTTTTGTAATCTTATACTATTCCACTAAATTTGATCCATCATTTTTCGTTTCTTAATACTGTGATGGATTTTTGTCTGTCGTTTTTAATCACAGTCATTTTTACTCGATTAAGTCATAGTTGTTGTATGATTTGGGATTTCATGTTCTTTTTGCTTTTTGGTTCTCCTGAATACCTACATGATGAGTTGTAGCTTTTTCTTCGTGTTTTTATTGGTGCAGATTCTTTGTTTCATTTTGATGTGTGCAGTTAGAAGTATGTGTTTGTTAATTTTATATGTTCTGTGAATCCATTGTTTGTAGTGGAATCGTTGCTACAGTCTTTGGAGCTACTGGATTTCTTGGGCGTTATGTCGTGCAAGAGCTTGGTAACCTCATATCCCCTTCTTTTTAAAACGTATCATCTATAAGACGAAGTTACTTAAGCTAAATAGTGCTTGTTTTCCCTTTCTTGGTTTTTAGCTAAAATGGGCACTCAAGTCTTGGTCCCTTTCCGTGGATCCGAGGATTCTCCTCGTCATCTCAAGTTAATGGGTGACTTAGGACAGGTATACTGACAGTTGTGCTGCCATAATAGATCTTCTTTTATTTTATTGTGATCTGTTCTTTAAGTATTTTTTAAATGTTCGAGCTTTATCTTAAGCAAACAGACATGAGTTATGATTACTTATGAAAGTGCTTCTCATTTTTATGAGGTTTCTGCCTCTCTTTGTTTAACTTGCCCAGATTGTTCCTATGAAATACAATCCCAGGGATGAAAATTCAGTTAAAGCTGTGATGGCAAAAGCTAATGTTGTGATCAATCTCATTGGTATGTCTTCTAGAATTCTTAGTTCGTGGTCCACAAAGATATCTTTTTAACTATTGCGGTAATTTTAACTCTATGGTTTCCAGGAAGGGAATATGAGACCAGAAATTACAGCTTTGAGGAAGTCAACCACCATATGGCTGAACAGCTTGCAATGGTAGGTTCTGTTGCTATATTGCTTTATTCTGTACTTAGATTAGTTGAATATCACTGAAGTAAGCTTCATGTTAATTTTGAAAATACTGTCCGTTGCATTTTTTGGGTGATCTGTTTCTGTTTCTTGATAAGTAAAATGTTGTCCAATGCGTCAACTTGGGTATTAAAATACTTGAAGACAATCTAAAATTAACTCATCAAGTTATTACAACTTGTTCCTTTGGTTCTGAGAGTGGTATCATCTTCTTCTCTTTACAGATCCTGTGGTTCTCAATACTGTTGTTTATCTTAACTTGAACTTTGGTATTACTTGGACAAACCTCTTTTTCTTCTGTTGTTCAATGTTTCCCTTTTCCCCTTTTGTATGTCATTACTCAATATAACAGATTCAGAAAGATAAAGTTCTGTGTACGTGTGTGCAGACTGACAGTGCATCTGCCTATTTGCTTATCTGTCTTTCTGACCCTAGTTTGTGCACTTTGTGGGAAACATAATTCTTCTGACCTAGCGAAGAACATGAATTTTCACTTAGTTTCATTAATAGGGTGGGAATTATATGATTAAAAATTTATTACCTTTCTCATAAAAAAATATACAATAAAAAATGTACTCTGGAGATGATAAGATTGATGGTGATATGATCATTGCCATGATATGAAATGATGAATCTGATGTTGCTTGCTTACTTTATGGTGTGCATATGTCAGGTGGCCCAGTTTGTGTCTAAGACCAAGCCCAAACCAATCATAATGGCTTCAGATTTTTAAAACCAAAATCAAACCAAGAGTAGTGAAAACACACTGTCTTGGTAGGGTTGACCCTCTTAATCAGTTTTTACAATATCAATTTATTATATTACTCTCCGTTCCAATTTATGTGAATCTATTTCGTTTTTGGTTTGTTCCAAAAAGAATGACCTCTTTCTAAATTTGGAAATAATTTTGCTTACAATTCTACCCTTAATGAGAAACTTTTATAACCACACAAATACTCTGGGCCCCTTTTTGACTTGTTTAGCACCACAAATTCCAAAAGTCTTCATTTTTTCTTAAACTCCGTGCCCAGTCAAACAGGTTCACATAAATTGAAACGGAGGGAGTATATTTCAGGTGGCCCAGTTTGTGTCTAAGACCAAGCCCAAACCAATCATAATGGCTTCAGATTTTTAATACCAAAATCAAACCAAGAGTAGTGAAAACACACTGTCTTGGTAGGGTTGACCCTCTTAATCAGTTTTTAGAACATCAGTTTATTATATTATATTATGTTTGGGAACAATTTTTGAGCCAAATTACTAAGAACATAACTATGGAATGTAAAGAAGATTCACTTTTTAATCAAAGAGGCTTTAACGAGTACAACTAAAATATGATAGTTAAAATATGCATAAGAACAAATTCTTCCAACAACTCGCAGAGCTTTGATCTAGTGGTAAAAGTGCAACACATGCTATGTGGGTTAGATGCATGTCACAGGTTCGTATTTGTCACAGATAAAAGCCTGGTGTCTAAAGTGGAGAAGGGTAGAGGATGATCCACTGAGCTTTGAACCGTTCACCACTGGCCCTTGGTGATTTCTCGGTAATAAAAAAAGGAGAGAAACAAATTCCTTCAACTGAAATGTTTTGTTGTAAGTTCTCTACTTTTTGGTAGATTACTTATAGATGGGAGATTCTCTCATTATTAATAAAATTCTTTACCTTGTAAAAAAGTAAAAATCTTCAGAACCTAAAGTATGCCATTACCTAAAGTAATGTCAATTTTGAGAACCTCAAAAAATAATTTTTTCTCAACCAGTATAAGAAATTGAAACATGAATACTCCATTTATGCTATCACTATCTAATTTGTCCGCGCTTCGTGCTATCGTAAAAAATTATATAATATAACTAAATCACTATTGTTATAAATTTTATGATTAAAAACATTCTTTACAAAGTATAATAAAATAAGTAGCTTTAAAATAGAAATAAGATTTGTGAAGTCATGGTCTAGAGAGGCATGTAGCAAAAACCAAAAATTTAACAAAATTTTGTGCAGGAGTGCAAATATTCGGATGGACATAATATGAGTTGTTTGTAATGAATCTCGATGTTACACTATTAGCTGCAAATAAAGGAAGAACCAGTTTTGAAACAAAACGACTTATAGGGGAAGAGAAGCCAAATTAACACGTTAAGATATCTAATTTGTGAAATATAAATGAATTTTGGAATTTTAATTATATATATATAATGTAGCCAAGGTAATGTGACACCTCTCTTAGGCCAAGAACTCTATTTATCGTGGTCTAAGAGAAGTGCTACATCACTTTGGTTATGTATATAAAGAGAGAGATTTGATGAAGATAATTGTTTGGGTATTACCCCAAAGGCCCAAAGTAATGAGAAGTTTAGCAACAAGGATACTAAGAAGAATTTATAAGAAATGTATACAAAAGTTTGTTGGTTGTTTCATTTTCAAGAGCAGACCAACTAATTTTGGAGAAATTTCAAGTTTGATTTGGATTCGGCTGGTTCTTGAAAATCATTTGCAACTCCTTCTGTCATACTATTTTTGATTAGGATAGAGTGGGTATGAATCTATCCTATGTGTGGTGAGGAAGCAAAGGAAAAGAAGAAAATGGAAGGGTTGCATATGCCTGAAAAGCTTAACAAAATTTTATGCAAGATAACAAATATTTGGATGGACCATAATATGAAAATTTTGTAATCTCGAGGTTACATTATTAATTGCAAATAAAGGAAAAAACAGTTTTGAAACAAATACGACTTATGGAGAGAAACCAAATGAACACGTTAAGATATCTAATAAATTAAGTATGGATAAGTTTTGGACTTTCTATTAATCTCTCTGTATATATATGTGTGTATTATATAAAGCTCATTATAACGAAGGTGATGCGACATTTCTCTTAGGCCAAGAACTCTATTTATCTTGTCCGAAGAACGGTGCTACAGTAGCTCCGCTATGGCCAACTCATTATATATATATATTTAATGAAGATAATTGTTTGGGTATTACCCTTTCATAATTATTTACGAGAAGTTCAGAAACAAGGAAACTAGGAAGAACTTGTAAGAAATGTATACAAAAAATTGTTGGTTTTTTCATTTTCAAGACCAGGGCAACTAATTTGGGAGATATTTCAAGTTCAATTTGATTTAGTTGGTTCTTGAAAATCATTTCCAACCCCTTTAGTCACACTATTTTTGGTTAGGGTAGAGAAAGGGATGCGTCTATCCTATGTGTGGTGATGAAGCAAAGGAAAAGAAGAAAATGGAAGGGTTGCATATGCCTGAAAAATTTAACAAAATTTTATTCAAGAGGGCAAATATTTGGATGGTCATCATATGATTTGTTTGTAATGAATCTCAAGGTTACACTATTAAGTGCAAATAAAAGAAGAAACAGTTTTGAAACAAAACGACTTACGGGGGAAGAGAAACCAAAGCAACACGTTAAGATATCTAATAAATTAAATAGACATGAATTTTGGACTTTTTATTAATCTCTCTATATATAAAGCTGGTCATAGCCAAGGTGATGTGGCACCTCTCTTAGGCCAAGAATCCTATTTATCTTGTCCTAAGAGAGGTACCACATTACCTTGGCCATGACCAACTTTATATATATAGAAAGAGAGATATTTGATGAAGATAATTGTTTGGGTATTACCTTTCATAATTATGTACGAGAAGTTTAGTAACTAGGAAACTAATAAGAATTTGTAAGAGACCTATACAAAAATTTGTTGGTTGTTTCATTTTCAAGACCAGACCAACTAATTTCGGAGAAACTTCAAGTTCGGTTTGGACTTTGGATTCAGTTTGGTTCTGGAAAATCAGCAACCCCTTTACTCACACTATATTTGGTTAGGGTAGAGGAGGGCATGAGTCTATCCTATGTGCGTGAGGAAGCAAAGAAAAAGAAGAAAATGTAAGGGTTGCATATGCCTTAAAAAGATTAACAAAATTTATGATAGATGACAAATATTCAGATGGACATAATATGAATTGCTTATAATGAATCTCAAGGTTACGCTATTAATTGCAAATAAAAGAAGAAACAGTTTTGAAACAAAACGAATTATGGGGGAAGAAAAACCAATTGAACACGTTAAGATATCTACTAAATTAAATATACATGAATTTTGGGCTTTTTAATTAATTTTTACACATATATGTGTGTGTGTGTATAACTGTATATAGGCCAAGAACTCTATTTTGTCCTAAAAGAGGTACAACATCACCTCAGCTATGGCCAACTTTATGTATATATATAGAGAGAGATTTGATGAAGATAATTGTTTGTTTGGGTATTACCCTTTCATAATTATTTACAAGAAGTTTAGTAACAAGGGAACTAAAAACTTGTTGGTTGTTTCATTCTCAAGACCAGACCAACTAATTTTGGAGAAATTTCAAGTTCAATTTGATTCAGTTGGTTCTTGAAAATCATTTGCAACCCTTTTAGTCACACTATTTTTGGTTAGTGTTGAGGAGGGCATGAGTCTATCCTATATGCGCCGATGAAGCTAAGGAAAGAAGAAAATTGAAGGGTTGCATATGCCTTCCAGCCCCTTCAACTTTCAGCCCCTTTAAATTAAATCGCATTTACTTTGCTTCTGGTTCTACCAAACAACAGAAGTAGGAAGGATTAGATGCTTTACCAGGAAAAGTAAATTACCCAGTCCCCTTGTGTCATCCCATCGTACGCAGTTACCAACCGCAGAACAATTTTGTTAATTATTGAATATCATCATCATTTTACAAATCTCAAAATATGTTGTAACTTTACACCCTTATTGTACTAATTGATTTTTTTTTGTTTTTTCATGACATCCTAAATGGGCTAGAGAGTGTCGTTCTCTTAGAATTAAATGTCTGCTTCAATCTCTTGCCATTGCTGTAACCAACCATGACACTGGCGACCTTGATGTCTTAGCTTCCGTTTTCACGTCAAATGACGTGCAAATTAGTGATCCTTTCTTCTGTCAGCTTTGTTGTTGTAGTAAGATGACCCGAGATGGATGACTAGGACTTAACATATACTCTGGTTTAAAGTACTGGAAATGACAGAGAGAATTAAATGATCTACTACATTCACTAGTGTCTGCCCTTTCTTTTGAAGTTGTTCATGAAGAGTGTTTTGTCTGCACTAGCATGTACTTCTTATATCTGCAATGTTTCTGGTTGCAATTGATGATCTGCGACATTCACCATTTTCTGCTCCTTTTGAAATCGTTTGTGAAGAGTATTTTGTGTGTAGTAATATGTACTTCCTATGTTGGCAGATCGCCAAAGAACACGGTGGTATCATGAGATTTATACAAGTTTCTTGCTTGGGGGTGTCTCCTACATCCCCATCTAGAATGCTCAGAGCTAAAGCTGCGGCGGAAGAAGCTGTTGCACGCGAACTTCCTGAGGTGAAACATAGCCAAATTATGTTTAATCTATTACATGTACCTTTCAGGCTGGAATTACGCTCTTATTCTTCCCCCTCCCCCACCCCAAAAAGACATGTATCATATGGGCAGCCTTATTAGAGGCTCGTACAATGCGCACTTAAGCCCTGAAGTTCAGTTAAAGCCTGGTTGTGTGCTTAGCCTCACTTGAGTGGCAATTTATGAAGGTGCAAATGTGTGCACCTCATCAACCACTGGCACTGTCTTTGAGAAGGCAGTACTAGACAACAAAATAAAACTGCATCTTTGACTTTTTATGAATTAAGCTCATTGATGGCATCAAGAAGGTGCAAAAGTAGAATAAAAGAGAATCCAACAAAAAATGAGTGAGCTCCAATACATGAGAAGCTAATATAGGACCAGGGAGCAATTGTCAGGGGAATCTACAGGGGACAAATTGTGCCAAACTAAAGAGATACATTAAGCACCTAGCTTTGATAGAGTGATTTGGAGTTGATACACCATCAAAACACCTTCTATTCCTTTCTGTCCACAAACACCAAAAGAAGCTAACAGGGATCAGTCTCCAGATTCTCCTGATGGCTCTATGAACTTTTTTTTGATGAAGTAACTTGTTGATGGCTCTATGAACTTTCCAAGCCTCTAGTTTTCAAAGGCATGCTTGATATCAAAAATTGAGAAAAACATTCTCCACAAATCTGAATGCATCTTTTCATCTAAATAAATAAGTTTAAAATGGCTTTTAAGCTTGATTGACATAATATTTACTTTGTATGTTTCACTTAATTATAATTATTTCAATTCTTTCCTCCAAAGTTGTTATTGTGTTCGCAGTTATCTTTCCTTGCTGTGCATGTATCTATTTTTAATTTTTCTTCGCCTAGTGCCTTTAATTTCGCTTCGGGAAAGCCCCAACAAAATTTGGCGCTTTCCTGTGCCTTTCGCTTTTGGTACTCTCTCTGCTTTCAGGTCGAACTTAACAGTAGTATTACTTCCTGCACCCATTTTGACACCTAGAGGCCCAAGAAGAAAAAGAGGACAAAAAATTACAGTAAATGACTAGAAATAAGAAGTAATAGAAAATGAAATCAAAATTGCAAGACAATTTCTCTGAAGAAAAAGAATTCTATGAGTTACATAACTGAGATCACAATAATTACAAAAGGTGATTTCTTTTTTTTTTCTTGATCAAGTAAATGTATTTTATTAAATAGGACCAAGAAAGTACACAAAAGAAGATGACTTCAAAGAATTCTAATTAAGTTATAAAGAAATTGTAGATCTCAGAGCAGGATCCGGTGTTCCTGGAGAAAAAAAATGGAGAATGGGTTAATGGTAAGTGGGAAATTTGGTGTTTGTTGTGGGGAGGGGAGGGAGGGGATCAAACGGCAGTAGGTTGGTGAAAGGGGTAAAGAGCAACAGTCGGGGGTTGGTTGTGAAGACCAGTGGGGTAGAGTAACAACCAGGTATGGGGATGGGGGTGAAGCAGTTTTGGTGGATAACACACCCACCAACCTTATGGCCACTGGACGGAAAAGATGTCACACAATGAGTTACTGGGCCATAGTGGCTTGAAACAGAACATGAGGAAGCGGAGAGGAATAGGTGAGGAGGAAAATGAATTGGAAGAAGTTCCAGTTGTATACTGGGAAGTTTTTGCACCACGTAAACATAATTATTATCAGACAAGGAATTGGAAGAAGCTTTCCCCTAACCTTGTATATGTGCAGGTAAAAACCATTTCCCTTTTGCTTGCTTAAAAAAAGAAAGGAAATTGTCATAACCTGATGGATATCTTATGTTGCTTTATTTAGTTTGATTTCCTCAAGTTACAATGTGCTTACTCCAGTCTCAAATGTTTTAAATTATTGTTTTGGGGGTGAAGTTGCTGATCTGCTCACTCATCTTCAGGCGACCATAATGCGACCAGCAGTGATGATTGGTACAGAAGATAGAATTCTGAATCCATGGGCACACTTTGCAAAGAAATATGGTTTTATCCCTCTGTTCGGAGATGGTTCGACAAAGTATGTGTTTGTAACAATTTATTGTCATTCTGGGAGAATTTATGTAGCATCTATGGCTCATGCTCTTAGAAATGCTTTTGCAGAATTCAACCTGTATTCGTTGCTGATGTTGCTTCTGCAATTGTTGCTTCTTTGAAAGACAATGGTATCAGCATGGGAAAAGTTTATGAACTTGGTGGCCCAGATGTTTACACTATGCATGAATTGGTCAATATCTGCTCTATTGTCCTCTTTCCTTACTGCTTTTCCTGTTTTTAGTATCTCATTCTTTAAATTAAATTGCTTAATGGAGTTCTGCTGATCATATTTTGCAACAGGCAGAGCTCATGTTTGATATGATCCGTGAATGGCCACGCTATGTGAATGTTCCTTTTCCTATTGCTAAGGCAAGTTCTTAAATGAATGGTTTCTCTATGGCTCAATAACAACTTTTTATCACTATTTATTATCTCTAACCAAGTTTTCAAACACATCTTCTATATTCACTTTATATGTTTCTTGTCTTGTAAGTGGGTCTATCTGTTACTTTAGGTGTCTTATTTTTGGTTTATGGAAGTTTAGGATTTGGAAACCTGCTCGTATCTCTGGGTATGAGAATGTTGTACTTCTTAACTAAGTGCTCCTTATTTTACCTGGTGCTACCTGCTTTTTGTACATGATGAAGTTGGATTTCTAGATACAATAGAGGAACTGCACTTTTTGTAATTATGTCTTTTAGCACTGGCTTAGTACAAGTATTTATAAAAATTTTGATTACTTATAAATAAATAAAAAAGGTGCTCCGTATGTTACCTTTTATGTGGCACTTTAGGTTTCTCTGTTCACTCTAAGTAGTAAAGAATTTATAGGAACCAATATCAGGATAGATGCTATAGTCCAATTGCATATATGACAAAGCATATTAGGTTTCTCCATTGCAGATCAGATGTAATGGACCCAATAGTCTGTCTTTCAGAACTTGAGATGAAGCAAACTCAATTTGACTGCATTAACAGTAAGAAAAATTTAATCAGTTTGACTGCATTAACAGTAAATTTTTTTGGATCAATTTGACTGCATTAATCTTACAATAGCATATAAATGTGATATATGGAGCATGCTATTTATTAACTTGGTAAACTTGCACAACCAATTTGACTACATTAATCTAGCAATAGCATGTAAATATGACACATGGAGCATGCTATTTATTAACTAGGTGAACTCTACGAATTTTTTTACTTATTATAAAAAAATTGCCAATATTCTTATATTAACTCATATATAAGGACAATGACTATTTTATTTGCAGTTTGAATTGAAGCAGAGATGTAAATATATTTTAAACTTTAGCAGCAGAGTTTGAGGTAGTTGGTGATAGAAAAAATGTGGAAGGTATGGAAAATGGAAGAATGGATCAAGCATTTGGTGTTTGATGGGAGTCCTTTTATTCTAGCTAGAGAATTGCAATTTGGTGTAGGAGTGAATTCCGAACCTTTAGCTTTAGAGAATTCCCATTTTTGCCTTTGAAGAAAAATTATTTGGTATTGACCTGAAGTAGAACTGAACATATTGGGAGATACAAGGGATTCGTATAGCCAATTCTAACTAGTATGGAGTTGAGCCATAGTTGATTGGTTGATTGAGTGTGTGGAAACTCTCTCTCTCTCTCTCTCTCTCTCTCTCTCTCTCTCTCTCTCTCTCTCTCGTAAATTAGGACATCTTGTCCTCCTTGGCATTCTTCATTTAATTTCAAGTTAACTAATCTCTATGAAAAAAGGAAAAGAAAACATATTCTCATTAGACTGCTTCAATTTGTCTTCCAACTAAAGAAATTAGAACAAGGTTATCTTAAGGGAGGAGGATACAATACGATCTTCAACTTCAAAGTTGATTTAAGCATTTTTCCATATCTGGTTTGAATTGTTGAAGTTATTGGAGGTGTTCCGTGTTCTAGTCTCAACTTTGTTGTGCTTATTTGGTCACATGGCATTCAGTGATATGCAACCGGTGGAGGTCCTTGTTCTGTCCTTGTTGATAGTTCAGGATAGTATAGGGATCCTTGCATATGAAACTTGTTTGAGATATTTACGTTTTGGAGTTGGCTTTTTTCTTTTCAGGCTATTGCATCTCCTCGAGAATTTTTGCTTAAAAAGGTTCCAGCTCCAATGCCTACCCCTACGATATTTAATCTGGATGCAATTGAAGCCATTATCACTGACAACATTGTGTCAAAAGATGGTTTGCCTCCATATCTTATTTAATATTTGACTTTCTGTTGGACGTCTCATACATACGCATCCTCACCGTTCAATTTGTGGTTATTTTTCAGCCTTGACTTTTGAAGATCTAGGGCTTGCGCCCCATAAGGTGAAGGGTTATCCGGTTGAATTTCTTATCCAGTATCGTAAAGGTGGACCAAATTATGGATCAACTGTTAGTGAAAGAGTGTCTCCTGAATCTTATCCATGAAGTTCTTTGGTCTAGCATGAACAGCATTTGGATCTTATTTGAAAGATTGGTGCAGGTAGTTGTTTCCTCTGTTACAAGTTTCTAACCGAGTAGTGTTTTATTCCGCTCTTAATTTTTTCTGCCTACATTGTAGACATTTTATTAATCAATATATACATTTGTATAAGTTAATTTCAGCTTCTTTTACAAGATTTCTGGAGTACAGCCGCGATAACAGGAAAATAAATGCAAAGGGAGTTTTTCAGCAAATGCATGTTGTGTAATGCTGAGACCTACACCCTTTTTGGGGGAAAGATGGAGTTAACTATGATTTTAGGTGTTTTTTGTGCCGTTGTCTCAAGGAGATTGTATTTTCTCTTTCGAGTTCACTTGTGTGTTCTCCCTTTTGCATTTCACCTAAGTAGTAACCAAAAAAAGTTGGAACATGATTGTAGTGAGTGTCAGGGTAAAAAATATTATTTCAGTGTATTCCTTCTGACCAACTTTTGTCATTGCTGTTCTTCTATTTGGGTGTTCAAATATTTTATAGCACCGTGTAAGTCTCCTAAATAAACAAAATACATACTTAAATACTTTACAATGCCAATGGTGTCTTCCTGGTGGGAAATTGTTTGTTTCAAATTTCAGCCTATGTAGATAGGAAGTGCAGCCATTTTTTCTTTATGCGTCTTGTGCGTTCAACAACTAGTTTAAATCTGAACGTCAGATGTTCCACAATTTACACCTTTAGCCTGTAAGGGTGAATCCTGGAAGGAAGTATTGATCAAGTTATTCCAAAGGAGCATATGCGTTTCTTGTTTAGGAAACCGCTTTGCAGTTCATTCTCTAATATAAAATAGTCTAAAAGTAGAGAGAGTTGATATCTCTTGTATTCATCGAAAAAACTCTTGATGTCAAATTGGAAGGAAGCAACGTAGGTGCGACCATCGTTGCACGTCGTGGTGGCTGCTCTGGTGAATCACATGATTGCTGCTGCATAAACATCTACATAAGTAACAACATTCAGGGAGTCAATAATTCCATTTTGGTTGGCAGCAAGGTGAAGATGGGGAATCCAGGTGTATGCTTTTCCATGAAAGATGTGAAATTTGATAGAGGGTTTCGACAGGGGAAGATAAAGGGTAGACATCTGCAAATCTTATCGATGTTGCTATTCGCTTTTGTTGCAGTTTTGTTTCTAGTGTCATGTTTTGCCATGTGATCTATTCCTTTCTTGGTTTGGGGATTGTCCGTAGGGCCCAGATATAATTTTAGGTTTACTTGAATTTATTGCTTTCGGTATATTTATAAAAAAAATATATATAAATACTAGATCTTGAAGAATCCGGAATCAAAATGTGGTTCTTTTGGACTCAAACAATCAAAATGTGTGGAAAAAAAACTGGTGACTATAATATATATAACGCCCTTTTATAAGGCGCTATACTTTAACGGCCGTTTGCCTAGTTAAGTATAGCGCCCTTTTTAGGGCGTTATATATATATATTATGTAGCTCACCAATGATTCTTCTGGACTTAACTGACATAACAATAATTCAACTGGGTATAGCGCCCATATTTAAGGCGCTATACCTCAAATAATTGTACCCCCGGGACTGGCAAAATAAGGCGCTATACCTCAAATAATTGTACCCCCGGGACTGGTTTTTGCCTTATTTAAAGAGGTTAAGGATTATGTAAAAATTCATCCATAAATATTCTCAAGTCTTCTAAAATATTTCTTCGTTAAGTTATTTTGCATTTTGTCATAATTTGTGAAGAGCGAAGAATTAAGATTTTATTATATTGGGGGGTGAGGTTGTGGTGGCGAATAACTCAGTAAGCTATAGTTTATCTTCACAGTGTCATGTTAAGTTGCCACTTACAATGGAGTACGATACATTAGTATTGTTATTATGTAAAAAAATGAGTGCGAGCAAACGTTCGGTGAATATTAAAGTAAATGGAAGATATCTGTATTCTGTCACTCCGCAAGGGGTTGCTTGTTATGATGAGTTTAACATCGAAGACGATGAAACTCTGAGAAATTTTTGAGGACTCCGGATGAATACCGGAAATTTCTTGTGATAAAAATGTTGGAAATGTACGTCAAGGCTGAAGACGTTCGCAATAATGAGGTTACGCAAAGTAGGGATATCTCTCAGTCATCATGTGGTTATTTTGGAGCAGTTTTAGCCGAACAGGTTTCGGGTGAAAGAGTTTGGCCTGAATTAAACTTATCTCCACGGACGAATGATGAGAGATGAAATAATTTCTCCCCTAGTTTACATAATCCACAAACCGAGTGGTAAACTTCAATTTTCCTTTGTGTTACGATGTTTATTTTTGATGTATTGAATTTGTATTAACACTTATATATTCCACAGGGGGTACCGACCAGATATGAATTTTACAAGTTATGAACCAACACCTACTTGGAATATGCTTAGTTTTGGTGTGTTGGATCATGGTGGTCCATCCCAGAGTCATCACCAACAGGATAATGTCCATCATGGGATATCAACACATTATGATTTGTAAGTGAAGTGATAAAGCTATATGTAAAGTTTGGATCAATTTGAGTAACTCATTATTTTGTTGGTTGTGCAGTGAAAATAAGCAACCTGAAGGTCTTGTCCTTACTCAATTGCCCGAAGACGACATATTTAATCGGGATCTGGCAGATGCGTAGAGTCAGGAAGAGAATAGTGATTATGACAACAATGCCGATGAGTCTGGAGATGACACACCTTTCCCTGATGAGGGTGATGACGAAGAGGAAGAGAATGTTGAACCTAATTTGACGAGGGAGCATGTCCACCTCCTGTTAGACCAAGAGTGTACGAGTCCCACGTGCCGTTTCATTCAAGAGAGATTTCCTACCTTGATCATTTGCCAAGTATACCGGATGTGGATGCCCTCACAAGGGATATTGACGAAATTCGGACAACAATGTGGGATGAATCTAAGGCGGTGCTGTCAAAAGGCATGCTTTTTCCTGATAAAGCGCGCCTAAGCAGGGCGGTGCGAATGTACAACGTAAAAGAGTGTCGTGAGATCACGGTAGCAAAGTCATCTCCGGATGTATACAAGGTTATTTGCCGTAGATGGTTTACGGGTTGTAATTGGATTCTGCGTGTGAGGAAGAAGAAAACAAATATGTGGGTTGTGGGTAAATACATTGACACCCACAATTGTGAAATGGGCACATTCAGTGAAAATCATTTTAACTTGAATGTTGATTTGATTTCTCTTGTCTTGATTCTATGCATTGAAGCGTCCATAAGGTACAAGATCAAAGAGTGTATAAAATTTATCCACCAGGAATATGGGTGTTCCATTACCAAAAGAAAGGCATTTCTAGGGCGCAAACGTGCATTTGAAATTGTTTATGGTAGCTGGGATAAGTCTTTTGCATCTCTACCCAGGTACATGGCCGCATTGCAACACTTTAACCCCGGGACTGTTGTTGAATGACAGCTTGAGCGGAGTCCGGGAATACCAGATATGTGTGCTGGGCATTTAAACCTGCAATTAATGGTTTTGTGCATTGCCGGCCGGTAATATCCATAGACGATACTCATGTCTATGGAAAGTATGATATTAAGTTGTTGATCGCCGTTGCAATAGATGCTAATGGAAGTATATTTCCCCTAGCTTTTGCTATTGTGCCAATGAAAGCCAAGAGACGTGAACACTATTTGTCTAATATCTGATCGGCATGGCGGTATTTTAAGTTTTGTACAGAATTTGCCTGCATGGCAGGAACCGTATGCCTACTGCCATTACTGTATAAGGCACCTGAAGGCCAATTTTCAGAAGGCACATCCCAACAAGGATTTGCATGATTTAATATAGATGGCTGCAATAGATCACCAAGAGTGTAAATTCAGGAGGCACATGGAATCGATCAGGCAAGAAGACCAAGGAGCCTATCGTTGGTTGATGCGACATGAGCTTGACAAGTGGACTTTGCATGCGGATGGTAGCAGAAGATGGGGAATTCTGACTACAAATGTGTCAGAGTCTTTCAACAGGTTATTGAGGTCTGCATGTGGATTGCCTGTCACTGCCATGGTGCGGATGTCATTCAAGCAGATGACAGAGAGGTTTATTGAAAGGGCTAGAGGTGCATCGTCATTGATGGAAAGGGGTGTTGAATTTATGCCAATACCAATGAAAATATTTGAGAAATACAGGAGGCGAGCACATTGGCATTCATATTTACAGTATTGCAATGAGCGAAATATTTTTAAAGTTCGCACCGCTATCCATCAAAACCGGGGGAATAATACACACACCGCAAATGAAGCCAAAAGGTTATGCTCTTGTGGGAAATTGTCCATCTACCACATGCCGTGCTCACATGCCATGAAGTGCTTTCAACATATAGGTTTCGCGGCAACCAACTACGTTGATAAAGAATATAGTGTTGCTGCATACTTAAACACCTTTAGTGGACAGTTGCAGCCAGTGGGTGCTGAGCATTATTGGCCGCCAGAACAATTTAAAATGGTGGGTAACAAGGAGTATTTGCGTCAACGATAAGTACAAAAAAGAACGCGTATACGGAACCAAATGGATGTTGGTAATACCGTTTATGCGCGTAAATGTGGCATATGCTCGCAAACAGGACACGACCGTCGTAAATGTCCTTCAGCTGGTTTGGGTAGCGATAGTAATTCAGCTCCCGGTGGAAGTTCATGCAATATGCTCAATTATCAAGGATACCCGTAGTGTTGTAATTTAATAATTTGTTGTTATAGGTGTATGTACATGTTCATCTTGCAGAATGTATGAAATAAAATTATGTTTCCATTGGTGTTAAGTCTTATTGATATTTAGCATTAATACTTCAGTACAACAATTTAATATACACCCCAAGAAAAAGAAACAATTGTCATTTGCCATTATCATCACTGTCTGGCATTATTTTATTGTCACTGTCTTCATCTTCTCCGCCAACATTGTGCACGTACCCTTCGGGACCGAGGGCATCATAATCTAGGCCCCAGTTGACACACATTTTTCGCATTTCATCGTTATCATCAAGAAGACCACTTACTTGATTTCTACAATAATATGGGACTCCTACGTCCAACGTCTGTGGTAGAAACTTAGGTAATCCCTCCCACTCGACAACTGTTGGAAAAATAGGATAATCATTGTCTATATGCATTTTATCATTTTATAATAAATCCCAGTACTGAGCCTCCATTCCTCCCAAAAAGTTAAGATCATCCATTGCATGATGAACAACTAGTGCCTTTTCCTTCTCTAGAATCTCCTTCATTAAATGTCGAATCACTTCTGGTTCATCTTTGTGTTTGTTTGTTTGGAAGGTTGCAGACAGTGCTTGTGGCACAACAAGCCCATGCCAGCGATATAGTGCTTCGTAATCACACCGTTTTGAGTAAAGGGAAACCCATTGTAGTTTTTTGCCCCAAATTCGCATATCTTCAGGCTTTGTAGAATCCGTTTCGCCCTCAATAATGTGCCCTGCAACTTTGAGATCAGTGTGTATATTGATAGGTTTATTTTTCAAGGTACGCAGAATACCATACCACTTGTCATCAACCAAGTCAGTGTAGCAACCTAGCATAT